TTAAACAAGAGAAACAATAAAACTCACCACATCGATTACTCAACATATAATGCAACGACTACCTCTGACTGACAGACTTTTTTTAGATTCATTGGTGCTTGATGATTTCTTCTTTATAATAATAATGATTTCTTCTTCAAGCAGGATATCTATGGACAAATATTTTTTTTTTCCATTAACTAAAAAAAAAGGTTGCAGAAAATAGGAGTATCTTCTAACTATGAATTTTTGGACTTTTCTATGACATTAATTTATAATATCATTATTATTAAATAATTTTATTAATAATATTTTATCATGAAATCCTTAGTTCATATTTTGGACTCCGAAATACACTTTTTTCTTGTGGATCCCGTCAAAGCTTCTAGGAAACCCTGTGGATCGATGTGGAGCTCGACTTAGAAACGCTGATCTATTATATAAAGGATTTATGTAAAGTCCTATACTACACTTGGTCCATCGTCTTTTCTTACCAGTGTTGCTGTTACGGCTTTTATACTTCTTCATTTATGAAAGCTTTCTTCCCCCCCAAGAAAAAAGTCTTTAATGTAAAGAAAACGGAATTTACTTGCTTGGAAACACAAATTTTATGAAATTAATTTTATAAGCTAAGTTTGGAACTGTATAAGTGAGTACTGTATAGTTAACATTCATTAAAAATTGCTTCTGTAACTGATGAAATTCCTTCAAGTACTCTGGGATACTAAATTATTATTATTATTTTCATTATGACTACAGTTTTGAGATCAGTTGCCTTTTTGCTAAATAATTTATTATACTTCCGATGAATATTTATTTTTTCTCTTATTTTACAAAAAATTTGCTTAGTGAGACGGTGTTAAAAAGATGATTTTTTATTTTCAATTTTTTGCTTTTATTTTATTTATTTTTTAAAAATATTAAATTGGGTGGCCATTCATCCAAAATATGTAAGTAGAAATATGATTGTTCTACCACACGGAAAAAAAGCTGAGTATCAGTATAATAATTTCGGCATGAAAAATTATCCGAATATAAATGAAAGTGAGGCTTCAGCTTGCAATGCAAAACTAGCATTCTTAAATCATGGCGATCATTACACGAATTTAAGTGCCATTAAGGGAAGAAAATTTGACATCCACAATCCACTATGCAGATAAACGACCAGAATCGAGTAATCTAAAGTAAAACCAAATTGCCACCTCCAGCGAAATTTGTAACGCCAATCGACTTTAAGTACAACCACTCTCAACGCGATTTTAAGTCAGACTGTAGAATCTTCCAATGACAAGGAGAGCGAAAGCCTGTGACTAGTGATCACTGCGAGTGATTGCTTCTTCACCTCCGTTTATTAGAAGCTTTGTTCAATGACAATAACCGAAGCAGCCATCTAAGAGGAATGTTATTTGTTTTGTTTGGATAGCTTACCTCCCTCTTTCGTGTATTTAGGACCGATAGAAATCGTTGCCATCATTTATCGGCATCATTTTATTTCGGGAAAGAGCGAAGGAAATGACCAACGGCAGAAAGAAGTGTTTGAGAAATTTAGGATGAAAAACGGTCATCAAGGATGTGTCTAGCTTTTTGGAAGAAGAATTGCCGACTCTCATCACTCCCCCCTCGCCCTCCAATTTTCTACGAAATGAAACCCCATAAAGCATCCGACAGAGTGAGAGAGGAAAAAAGAGAGCGATCGAAAGCAGAAACAGTAAGAATAGATATATAACAGCGGAAGAGCAACATCCGGGAGACACAACAAGAGACAGATAAGCGTTACCGGGCGCCATCTGCAGGGAAGATTCACTAATGTCACAGAAGAGATCTTGTAATGGCTTTCTTTCCCATTCCATGAAAAATAAAAGAATCACACAAAAACACATGAGAAGGATAAGCTCCACGCTACCTGTTCCTTTTTCCTCTTTATTTTCAGAACTAGTTTCTGCAAACTTTTGACGATAATACATTTATACCTGTTAACAATAAGTTCTGAAGGATGTAGAAATTCAAAAAATATTGTTAAAGAGTATAAAGTTGCATGGCAGAAGCAGAATGTTTTATGCTTTTTCACTAGTAGTATCAGATAAGGCTATATATTTTAAAGCAAAGTAACTGAAGAGTAAGTAACTAGAGTAAATAAACTGAAGACGCATTCCAAATTTCTTACATTTTTGGAATTGGATAATTTAAGCTCATATAGAATATGCTTCCCACGGATTTATTATTGCCATGCTCAACTCGTTGATGAACAAGTGCTCTGTCAACTGAACTTCTGCTTAAGTAGAAATTATCTCAGGCTTTTATTGTCAGCTCTAAATAATTTCTACGTAACAATAAGATTCAGGATATTCGACTACAAATTACTGATGTGATTGTGTCCCCCTGTCACAGCATCATAAATATATGAGTTAATAGGTAGTTCCAGCCACATTATATTGGTACCAGTTTGAAAGATTTACTTTAATTAACAGATTATTTTTATGTTAATTTTTACTCCACTTTAGATGCTCTGTTCTGAGAGTAGCGACTGATCCCAAAATGCCACATTTTGTACCTGGGCAATCTTATTGTGTATAAAACTACATTGCTGTACTCTAGGCGAGTCACTTATCTCAGGGTGATCCTCGACCGTTATCTTTAATGGTCCCTACATGCTCATTCTATTATCCAGAAGTTCAGGACACGTAAAGCAAGACCCTACTCTTTAACTGCTCAGAACAGCGTTTTATTCATTGATAACAAGTTACTCATATACAAAACCCTCTTGCTTCAAGTGCTTTGCTACGCCTGCTTTGGGCATATTCCTGCTGCACTAAACGCAAACAGTTAAAAACGGCTCAGAATTGCATTCTGAGACAAATTTTAAAAAAATGTCTGGCTGTCCATGGTACGTCAGAACTAATAAAATTCAAGAAGAAATTACCCAGCTATGTGCCCACTATCATTTTTTGGCACACAGTTTTCATTTAAGCCTCAGAAAAAACAGCAGCAGCAAAATAGCACTACTTCAATGTATAACTACTGCTCTCCGGGAAATATCAAGAGACTTATGGCCATTCATTCATAACTTAATGTAGATGCTATATCACTTGTGTAACTGTTTTACTTTTTTCTATATTAATGTATTTTCCGGTCGCCTATTTTGATTACGTCCTCATTCTTTCTTTGTTATGTTATTCTTTCTTGAAGAGCTAGCTCCACGTACCTGTTTGATTTTACAATGAATCTAACATCTGAACTCTTACCATGCTAGTGAACTGATTTTGAAATTCAGTGTTTTGTACGTAAATTACTCGGACCTGTGAATAATTAGTATATATTTTACCCTCAGTTTCGACAGAGGTTTGGCACCCTGCCTGAGCACTCTGGTGATTAGACCATACTTATTGTAGTGGACCCCCCTGTGTATCATTTCCCTCCACCAAATTTTTTATCGCTCTTGAAAGTTGCGTGGCGACTGTCGTCAAGGAATCTGAAAACTTTCCCTATAAGACATGCAAAATATATTTCATTTGCTTATTTATTTTGTAAAATTCGTTCAGAATGCAACTGCAAACACGTGAAGTTGTACTTCATTAGCTTAATCACCTCGTGCATCTATTTTTGTTCATATTTTAGCAAAATCTCTAGTTATGAAACTTGATTATAGTATTTGATCCATGGGGTTCCCAAATGTGTCGACATTGACCCCCAGGGGGTCGATCAAATTTTGAAAGGGATCAATCATGACCAGGGCAGTCGATAGCTGAATATGCATGGACAATTAATTGAGTGGAATAAAGAAAATCTTTTTGAATACAAAAAAATTAACATCGTAAAATTGATAACTAATTGTTTACTGATATAAAGCAATATCACGCAGTAATGAAGAAATAATATAAAATAAATGTAAGGGGAAAATACTCAAAAGTAATTTAATATATCTTTAAAATCAGTAATATTTTATAATGTATATATATATATATTTGCAAAAAGCGCGCTACAAAAAAGGTGAAACTCAGAAACACAAGCCCCCCCCCTAAAAAACAAAGAACGCAAAACTTCCTTGGAAGACGCATTGTTATATAGAAGCTACTTACAAAATTTAAAAGACTTTTATAGTCGCTTCCAAGACATGAAAATTTGAATGTGCCAGTATGACTAAAAGAGCCTCTGAAGTACGATGTCTAAAAAGCTGCATCAATATATCCAGCGGGCCCTAAAAGCGACTGAGCCGTAAAATCCTTAAACCCAACCTGATACTTCGGTTTGGAGCTCGAATCTCGGAGAATGGGTTGACTGCATGGGCGTTTTTGTAGTTTACCCCTGCCCCCCCCCATGTGAAATGTGGATACGAGCCGGTTTCCCTTAAATATTCCTCCACGGGGATCTGCCATTTGGCGGATACCACTGTGTGCGTCGTTGTAATTAATTACAAAATATGGAGAGAGAGTGCAGCTATCACATTCATTAAAATCGAACTCCTATGCAATTAGAATCTGTGATTTGCTTCAAAAAACTTGTTTACGTTTCTAAAATTATAAATGATAAAACAAATGTAATAAATAATTTTTTCAATTTTTGTTCATATTCTTAGTCTAGCTGTTATCTTTAATTTATGTATGTACAATTATTTATACTGTTATAATTATGTTTTATGCTGTGTATTATAGAGATAAGTGAAATAGGATCGATAAAGAAAACCATTCTTTTAAAAGGAGTCGATGCAAGAAAATAGTTAGAAATCGTTGGTCTAACCACAGATTTATATTTATTTGGCTACCACTCAGTAAGTCTCTGAAGGTTATTCAGTCTACATAAAACTTTAAGTAAACTTTATAGTAATACAAACTAAAGTTAAAACATAATTGAAACTAATTTTTAATCAACCTTATGTTACCACGCTAAAGTACGAAATTAAAATTATTTCAACTCAATTCATAATTATTTACAACTACGGAAACAGTCCTCTGCTCTGTGGAAAGGTTGCCTATCTACTCTAACAATTCTAATAAAAAAAATAGACTAAATAAAAATTCACTTACTTTTAATTGGAAACTTCACATTAGATAGATCACTCACCATTTCGAATTCAAAGTGTTGCTAGCAGTGAAAGAATGTAACACCTTCTCAGTAGCTAATTCGAGTCAACAGCAAACTGCAGATCGATCAATCAATTATACTTCACGTACTTTATTCTCAGCTAATTTAAAACTTCTGAAAAAAATCAAATAAAAACCTTACATTATTCCTAAGCACTTATCTTTATACCATCTTAATAATAATTAGTTTTAAATTGTTCGGCCTGTATTTTAACTGAATGTATTTCCTAGAAAGAAAAAGACTCCTCATTCAGATAGGTTTAAATTTGCATTTAATTTACTTTGAAGCCTAACTTTAAACATAATCGAGTCTTATATAGCTATTTCTTTGGTTTGGGTTACATATGTTAAAAATGTACTGTCTTAATTGTAACTTTGTAACTTAAAAACAAGCAACATAAACACAAACAACATAGTTATAAGCAAAATTTGCTAGTTACCACTTTTTAACTCAGCTCAAAATCAACTGATAAATGCTTCAAATCTACAAAGGATAAAAAAAAAGAGTGAGAAATGAAACGATGTAAACACTACATAGGCACTTGAGTTGGAATTGCAAAATCTCAAGCCAACATAGCATCAGAAATTAATAAATTTACTGAACTTTGGCTTTTGATTAAGAGTTTGAAAAGTTTCTGTAGAAATGCCTCATCTGTAGGGTGGCCAATAAAAGACTGAAAGGTTTAAAAAATTCATAACTAGTTTGTTTTGAATTTTTTTTTTAGCACCAGAGGTGTTATTAGCCTCAAACCTCAATTTTTTTCTTATCACTTTTCACCGAATGCTACTAATGTTATTGCTATGTATTATTTTTAAATAAATAGTGTAGAGAATATAAAAAAACTGTATGGCAACAAACACTTTATCGAAAATTCTGAAGATAACCGACATAAAATATTTTTAGTTTCCGCTTGCCAATTTTTTGTCATTTGGCGAAGCGTAAGATTTTTAATTTACCTGTTACTGATTAATAAACTAAGCGATTTGAAAGCAATAAACGCAGTTCTTTATCTCTGCTAATTATCAATTTTCTTTATCTCTGTATTTTCTTTATCTATTTTTCTATATCTTTACTAGTTACATCCGTTAAATTAGATTAGCTGAATTTATGAAAAGTATTATATATTATTTCTCATTTTATAGTAACTATTATAGGTGGCTATCCGCACAAGCAACTAGTTATTTGAAAAGTGAAACAGGCAACAAAAATTGATTTGACTCAAAAATGAGTTTTGAGATTAACAGCTCTTCTGGATGTAGCATTTTTTATTCTCCAGCGCGGGAGATTATGTATCGAAAATTCCAAAGATATGCTGTTTTTAGATATTTTGTGATATTGCTATTGAATTGAATTTTATATGGTTTGAGTGCGAAGAATGTGATATTTAATAAATAAAGGTAACACACAAAACGTTAAAAAAGCTCCCCTTTGGGCGTAATATAAAATCTGAAGGCTTTCAGATTTTATTTTGCATAGGTTATAAGGTAGTATTTTCTTTCTCCTTTCCGCATGTTTACGTGGTGTAATTGGAAGCATATTCAATGCGTATTCGAGACGTATAGCGTTCAAATCCCGAGGGCGTTGCACACTTTTCATGTCTCCTGCTTGCAAAAAAAGCTAATGACACTACAGTGGTGCCCGAACTAAAAAGTGGTGGACAATAATTAGTCCCCACCACATTTTGGCGATTGGATCCCCTAGTCTCTAGCCGCCCTTTAAAAGGAGGCGTATACAAGGTATTTTCTCCCTCCTTTCCGCATGCCTTTGTGGTGTAATTGGAAGCATACTCGATGCGTATGCGAGAGGTCCAGGACTGGAGTCCGACGAGGGCACTGCACATTAAAAAAAAAAAAAAAAAAACTAATGACTCAGCAAGGTGATACATATGGTTAAGTAGGTATACAGCAAAGAATAAAACTCATTACGTTTTCTATACCGGTGAAACACCAGATATTTAAAGTCACAGAGAAAATACTGACCACATTTTACTGTCGGATTATCTCCGATCACATGATAACATGATTCGATGCCTAATTGCCCGATTTGAAAGAAGTGGATCCGTCTGCAATCTTCCGAGAAGATATCCTAAGCGCACTGTGCGCGCTGATGCAGTAATAGTCTTTTATTCGAATAAAAAAACTTATAGCTTTATTATTATTTTAATTAACCAGTTATCATGATTAAGACCTGTACTATAAGTTTTCCGTTTCCTCCTAAAAAATGAAAATGAGTTAGAGAGCATAAAGTATTTAAGTTGAGGGTTTCGGATTGTAAGACAGAGCGTGTTTCTACCTCTCGAAGCCACGTTACCAGGTTTTGCCAACTCTGATAAGATTACATCTCTTCGGCGTTGCGCTGTTGCTGCCGAAATTTAATTGTTACATCTGAGAGAAGTTCTGAGCAAATTTAGTTTTAAATCAGTTGTGTAGTCCTTGACTACTACGCTTAGTTTAACTTTTGAATTTGACGGTTACTTTAAGTTGCATCGCAACAAGCGTTGGTTGATCCTGTCGAGGACGAGAAGTGCCTTTATGTTAAAGTTCTGATTTAATAAAAAGGTTATTTTAACCTTTTGAAATCTCTGTGGTTAACTTCAAGCACAGCAATAGTTCGCTCCAGGTCTGTTAGAAGTTTGATATTAGTTTATGCTACCAAAGGAAAGTCAAACTCTCAAAACTCAATGAGTTTTACTCCTTGCTGAGCATCATACGCAACCATTTTAATCTTCAACTGATGTTCTAAAACCTGCAGAAGAAAGAAAATAAAAATTTAAAAAAAAATAGAAACGAACAAATTATGAATATTTCAAACTTTTAGTCTTTTAGTGGACACTGTGTATAAGAAAAATTTCTTCTAAGATTAGACGGATCGATATCCCACAGAAAATGTCTTATTCTCTGCAATAGGCCATAGGCTCTCAATTCAGTTTAAAGTAATATGATGGTGTTGTTATTTATTTTTCTTTTTGTCCGTGAGAATATGTTCACGTTTTGATCCCTGTATTATGCAGAATAAGGAGGAAAATACTCTCATGTGTTATATCAGTTACTTATGAAGAGAAGAGGTGCAGTTTTAGTTGAACATTCTAAAATACTTAAAAAAGAATACCGAAAGAGCATCTCTTTTAACAAGAGAATTAAAACAGAATTATAAGCTAAATCGTGGTTTTCCCCATGTATAACGTGTATACGAACCAGTTTACCCTAGAAAGTCCTCCACGAAGGCATCCATCCCCTTAGGCTGATAGCCCTCGAGGCTTTAATGTAATCACACAAACAAACCAAACAAAACATAAGTTAAATCGTTATTATTAATATAATAGAGAGATTTAAATAATATCATTAATATAATCGGAATCGCAAGACAAATAACAGCATTAAAATAAAATACTCAATTTTTCAAACCTACTAAAGAAATGTTGGTTTCTCTGAATTCAAGACTAATGCAGGAAAGATACTAAAAATGCCTCACAAAGCAGCTATTATAATATATTATTATTATTATTATTATATATTATCATGTATTAAAAATAAAGCAAACTTCAGTTTCTCAGAAAAAAATTTACTAGCAATAATACCCCATGCACATTTCACAACTCAGGTATTATTTTCCATATTGAAAATTTCAATGATATTTTGAGTTTAAAATAAACCTAGGGCAGCCAAACGCTTTGGCTGGGTTGCTGTAATTCACAGCTTTGAACTTTACATACGCTTAAAGAACTCCATCGAAAAGAAATTGTAACTTTTCCCATTGAAGATCACGTTGTTACCTTCCTTTTCTTTTTCAAACTGTCGCTACCAGGCATTTGAATAAACAAACTAAAAATGTCTCCATTTGAAAGTCTAAATATTGGATGCGTTTATCTTGAGCTTCTTATGCAAATATAAAAATAAGAGAAGAAACAAAGCGGGGAATGAAGCAGCATAAACACTGCATAGACCTAGATAAACACTTCAGCCACTGTTGCTTCAAACAAGGCCTATTACAATATACATCCTTGTAAAGCACAGGAAGAGGGGGAAGTATTCGTGACTTTTTGAAACAAAAAAACACAAAAGCTCTTCAGGGAAAGGCAAATTGTTCGGTTTATTAAAACGAATCGTTATAAAAATTGCGTCAATTGGAAATTTTACAGTTATATAATCCATTATATCAGTAAAAAGGCAGGTGATGTATTTCTAACATCAACTTATCACGTCTCAGAGTGATTTTATAAAACTGCACTGCAAAAACTTTTCGTCGCTTATTTTGGTTCCTCATTTTATTCAGCTGGCTAGTGTTATCATTATTGTGTTCCGCCCTAAGGCACTACACGGAAGGGAGAGATGCCTTCGTGGAGATCTTTCTAAGGGAAACTTGTATTAACATGTTACACATGGGAAAAACCACGAAAACGCCCATGCACCGGATTCGAACTTCGGACCGAACTACCAGAGACTTTGCCTCTCGGCCGCTGGTGGGCTTTTCAAAGTCATACAATATAAAGATTCCTTTTTTTCCTACACAACTCACGTAAGAAATTAAGGTATTTATAATGGCGATGTTCATAAATATTTTCGGGTATATGTTATGTTCAAGAGCATTTATCAAAATAAAAATAAAATTCTAAACGATTTTCTTTGAGTAGTCTTATTCTATATTGCCCATATACATGTTTCCGAACCAAAATTTTGAAAGACAATTACTAAATATTAGTTATTCATTGAACCTCATTTTGAAAAGTTGGCATTATGTTACGCAGGATTCTGCATAATAACGCATCTGTGAGACTTAATTGCCTTACATATACCACAGTTCAAGCAGAATTTTTTTCACTATTCCGTTGATTTTTTTTCTATTTTCGTTACATTCATTAACATGACATATGGTTTATTTAATATCTTTTTTATGTCATAATATTACGCAGCAATGAACAAAATTTTCATAACCATTTTACATGTACATTATACCTCAATATAAATTATAATGTTTTTTTCTCTAATTAACATTTACAAACGTTAATTACGTGCATTCACCTTATGTGGAAATATATATCTAAAATTATTAATTACATAAAAGCTGCCATTATTAAAACCAAATACAGTATATTGAAAATGTCATGTGAAGATAAT